GAGAGACAAACATTTGACGACCATTTATATTCTGTCTTATACTGTAGTTCATAATAAATAGTTACCTATGGGAATATTCAATTCAATAAAAACCAGAAGGTCTCAGTAGCAAAGCAGGTAAGCATCCCTTTAAGCCATAAGCTCAATAATTCAAATTTATCCTCGTTATCCTGAATATTATTTAGCACCAAGTAGATTTTTCTTTTTTCTTGTTTTTCCCCCAACCCTAATTCCTGCAATGTACTTTCCAAAAGAATATAAGCGCTGTAGAAAAATTAACCTTAGAAAACATGAACCACAAAATCCAGAAGTTTTTTTCCTCATCTGCAGTATTATTAAATTTCGCAAAATTTCTTAAGATAAAGTACTCAGGTTTCAGGCCAGTTCATTGGCCAACCTTTTCAAAAGGTGGAGATGTTAGGGTGCTGATTAAGGACCCATTGTTATAAAGGGGAGTAGTTGAAACCACAAAGCTCTGAGTACACACAGTCTTGAAAGACAATCAATCCATTCGTTGCCTCTTCGGTGGCCTAGAAATTCCTGAGACTAAAAATTCCTAGAATTTCTTTTATAGAAGATAGGGCATTTCTGTCAGCTAGACAACCTGAAAATGCGTAGGAAAAATAGGGGGAAATTCAAGGCTCCCTGCACATGTCTTACTATTTACCTCAAATATTCGAATTGTTATTTTTTAAAAGGTGCTAATAAAAAATGAGCAGAACAAGCTGCAGAGACTTTGTGGAGATTTAAAATGACTTCTAAGGCCCATGTATTCAAAGTAGGGATTTAAAAAGCAAAACCAGAACCATCCAATGTTAGAACTAAAAGCAGGAAGTTTAATTTAGGACGATTTCACCTGTGCTTAACGTACAAAATTTCCAACAGAAAGATGATTCTGAAAGCTAGCAAAAATGAGCTCTATCTTATCCGTGATGAATTTAATGCTGAAAATTGCTATTTTCTCAGAAGATGAATTGCTGGAAGACCAAAAATCAGATCCAGAAATCAGATCTAAATTCAATCATGTATTTAGGAGTGTGAAAGAGCTGCCTTAAGATTTATTTCCAGGAGACTCTGGCAATTATTATGGTACATTTAAAAAAAATTAGGGTTCCATAATAATGTACTACAGAGGCTGGGCAGGGGAGGTCACAAAACTTTAAACAATGGCTAAGCATGCAAGAAAAAAAAATCAATAAAACAAGCAAAAATCAATGTCTTCAAAAGTAAAAAATAGCTTCAGATCAATTATTTCAAATATCATGGAGCATTCCTAGAGGAAACGACAGCACTGTTAATGAGACACTATCAAACTGGAGATTGTCCTCAACAATGACCTCATTAGCTTGAAATCACTTCCAAGTCTGTAAGTACAAGCTACGTCATAACTGTTTGAATGGTAAAATCCTTGTCTGAGAAAGTTTCTGCAGTTTCTGAAGTTGATTTATTTCTGTTCTTTTTAAAAATAAACAGGTGACATCCAATGTTAGCTTCAGGTGTTCAAATTAGTAATTAGGCATTTATATAATTTATGAACTCATCACTCCAATAATTCTAATTAATACCCACCTGGCACCATACATAGTTATGACAATGTTATTGACCGTGTTCCCTAGGCTGTACTTCACGTCACTGTAACTATTTTAGTAACTGGAAATTTTTGCTTCTTTCCAGGTATTGTTAACATTTAATACTACTTTTTATATTAATTTCAGGTGTATACTGTAGTGGTTAGACATTGGATAAAAAAGATGTGGTACATACATACAATGGAGTATTACTTGGCCATGCAAAAGAATAAAACCATACCATTTGCAACAATGTGGAAGGATCTAGAGGGCATTATGCTAAGTGCAATAAGTCAGAGAGAGAAAGACAAATGCCACCTGATCTCACTTACATGTGGCACCTAAAGAACAAAATAAATGAACAAACAAAATAGCAACAGTCTCACTGATACGGAAGACAGACTGAAGGTTACCCGATGGGATTAGGGAGCTGGGTGAATAAGGTCAAGGGACTAAGAAGCACAAATCGATAGTTTACAAAACAGTCACCAGGGCGTAAGAGACAACCCGGGGAACACAGTCGATAATATTGTAATAAGTATGTATGGTGTCGGGTGGGTACTGGAAATATCAAGGGCGTCACTTTGTAAGTTAGAGAAACGGCTCACCAGAGCCGGTTCATTTTAAATTAGCGAACAGCTTGGGTACTGAAATAATCAGTTTCTCAGAGGCTGGATATTGAAATAATTAGCATCTCAGCCCCATTACAAAAGGGAAAACTGAGACATCACAGAATTTGCATAACTCAATAATGTCATGAAAGAGAATTAGATCCTAAATCTTCAATTTCTGACTGACTACACTTCTTACCATTCATATTGTCCACTTACTTTTAAAATGCACATTTAAAAAGAAATGAGCATTTAAATAAATAAAAATGACCTAAAAGAAATTAATCATAGAATGCCTACTAATATTTAATAATGCCACTATTTGTATAGTAGTTTATACCTTCGAAGTGATGAGCAGATGAATGGATGGATGGGTGGCTGAATGGATGGAGGGACGGACAGAATCTACATTTTTCTTCTAATCATCTCTGTGAGATATCCATTGGACGGATGGAGAAACTGAGACTCAGAGAGACTGAGTAACTGAACCTCAAAGATACTACAAATAAAAATATCGCAGATGTAAGACTCTATCTGGAGCTTCTGATGTCAATTTCCCTGCTCCCCCCACTGTACCACACTGGGTTTTGGGCAGGGATATGAAATACTGGTCACTTACCTGCAAAATTTGAGTTCCGGTTTTCTTATCTACCCAAGGAGGTGGTAATCAGGACAAATAAAACAAAATGTGGGGAAGTGCTTTAAAAGCTGTATATTGCTTTATGCGTGAAAGTACAAAGCTCTGGACATTATAAACAAACCCAAAAAGTCTCTTTCTACTTTAGCCACATAAAACAAATCAAATTAGCTGTCTGTGATAAATATGACACAGAGTGTAATTCTACCAATTTCTCACTTTCCTCTCCTCAAGTTTGAAAAATGTTTCAAACACAATTAATAAATAAATTTGAAAAATAAAATTGTAGGATTAAAAAACTAAACTTCTTTAATACTTGGGATTGCTTTGATATGGGTCCTGTAATATAATCATATTTTAAATGGAAATGTTTACCAAAAGATGGCCAGCAGTTTTTGCAAAAATAACTATGCATCAGAACCGTAAAAGAAGCTTAAGTTTTATCACAAATGGTTCTGATTTACAATGAAGACCCCAGAGCAGACTGTTGAGGAATTATTGTCTATTCATTCCAATTGCCTGTGTCCCAGAAGTTAGACCTCCATTACAATTCCATTTATCTTACATCTGATACCCACGGATGTTAATGCATCACAGAAAAGCACCATTTGCAAAAAGAATATATGATGCAAAATAAGTGTTCATGAAAAAAGAAATTTTCTGAAAGGATAAAGTGACTCACATTTATTTTCCAAATGCACTGTCTTCATTTTTTCTTTTGGGATTTGGGCAACTGGTTTATCTATGGATAGTTTGTTTTGTTTCATGTTTTTAGCCATGAAAACCCCACAGAGCGCTGGTTTTTAAAGCACCAGTAAACCATGAGACCAGCCACAGTTATGACTTCAGTTTCAACATCCTACACTGACATTGCAGGAGAGACTGTCTGCTTACTTTAGAAATGCTTGTAACGCAGCGACCTGCTTATCTCCCACCCGCCTTTGAACACCGAAGCTAGGGTGGCATGCTCGCTCGTGTGAACATCTTTGGAGGGGTATCGCCACAGACTGAACGGCCAGGTTGGCTGCCTATGTAGGTAGGCTATTCCTCCTGAGTAGTTATATTTGGAAGGGTCTCTCCAGACCTTGAAGAGCCTGCCTCTTCCCTCCACCCACCTGGAGGTGTGAACATTAGCCCGCGCAGCAGGCTTGCTCAGGCACATCCACCCGGGGCTAGCTCCTCAGAAGCATGCGCAGCTCACCCTGCCCAAACTCAAGAGAACCCCAGAGACTTGATGCCTCGTGTCTCAACCGGGTGAGTCCACCAGAAGGGACCTGAATAGGGCTGTGTAGTTGGTGACTCCATTCCCCTAGTTCGTTACTCCAACTGACAGTGACTGTGGCAATCCACTGTTTGATACTGTGATGCTGTGACTGTCCCTAGCCACTGCTCCATAAGGTTTGCCTCTAAACAAGGAGCTGGGTATCCAACCGTCGATTAGAGGTCTGACCAGCCGGTGCCCCATGGGTGGTCCCCCGGCTCCCACCCAGGATAAAGCACTTTCAGTGACTTGCCTGGAGAAAAACAGCAAGTTTAACTCAAGCACAAAATTAACTTAGTATTATATTACATGGAAATACACTCTTTTATTACAACAATCTCTATTTTTAAAGTGCAAACTTGTTTAATTCGGAGGGATCATAGTTACTTTCCCAAGCATGTTTAGGAGCCCAAGGTCCTTTGGAACTGCATGCTAAAAACCTGAAAACTGCTCCTGACAACAAAACGAAAATAATTGCACTGTCACCATGCCATCTAATTTCTCTCATATTTTAACGAAGTTGGGAGCAATTACATGTAAAACGAAGGCCTGTGAAAGAGCTTCCTGAGGAAGCCCCTGCAACCTGTGTCTCTCAATTTAATAAACCTCAGGAATTGCAAGCCAAATAGTCGGGGTTTCCTCTAAGTAAAAACCCAGCTCTGCTCAAGTTTTCTACCCCTTAGGAACTGAAGTCTTAACTGTCTCATGAAAAAAGAAAATTGTTGATGGGCAGTTTAAAAGTAAACCGACTGTCTTCAGTCTCTATTGGGAAAAACGACTTAGTTGCCCGTTTTTAAGGAAAAGGACTGAACTTTTCTTGGCAACAGCCCATTGACAGCTGCACGCGCTGCGTTCTGGAAGGGCTGCCGTGGGCAGAAGTTGGGGGCTGCCCGTCCAGCCTGCCTGGCCCCGGGAGCCCCTACCTGAGTTCCTCAGCTTCTTGTTCCGATAGACGGACAGGATGACCAGGAGGTTGCCCAGGATGTCCACCACGATGGTGAAGATGAGGATGAAGGCCAGCGTGGCAGGCAGCCACGAGGGTCGCGGCCGCGCGTCCCCACCACCGTCGGGCACCTGCTGAGAGGCGTTGAGGAGCGCGCTGCTATTGCCCTTCAAGGTCCCGCCCGGCGTGTCCCACGGCCGCCCGGCCATCCCACGGCCAGGGCAGGCGACCCCCGAGTGCGGCGCGATCCCAGCGCGCCACCTGTGCGGCTCCTCCCCGCCCTCCCACCTCTAGTCCCCATCCCAAGTGCTCCTTCGCAGTCGCCCTGTCCGCTCCACCGCCTTCTGCCGGCCGCGCTGTGCACCTGCAGCCCCAGCCTGGTGACACCTGGCCTCCCGCCTGCAGGCTGCTTGGATTGCCCAGCTCGCGGCCGTAACACGCACCACGTGCCGACAGCGCCCCCGTCCGGGAGGCCCGGGTCCAGCCGCTTGAGCTCCAAGTGGGCAACGACTCCAGAGAAGCCTTGGTCGTGCTTTGGATGGTCCTATTCCCTCTCTGGGACATTTCTCCAGGCTGTGACCCCTCCCTCTGATGGAGGAGCCTTAGTTAGCCACCCCAGGGTCCTTACTGGTAAACTGGGGGTCAGAAAGTATCTAATTCATCTACCTGGTAGATAGTAGGAGGTGAAAAAATCAAGGAACATTTTGTGTCAAGTATGGCACTACTTATCGATCAGAAATCATCCCCCAGCTTCCCATCCCCACTTCCATCCCACAGGCTAACTGCAATATTTTAAAATCATTTTAATTTAAATGTTTTTTGCCATCCATAATTTTGATAACTTTTCTGAACAGCTACCTTTGTTTTGAGATTTCTTTTTTTAATTAATTCATTTTTATTGATTATGCCATTACAGTTGTTCTACTCCCCCCTTCATTCCCCTCCACCCTACTCCCTGTCCCCACCATTACCCCCCTTTAGTTTATGACCATGTGTCTCAAGTTCTTTAGATTCTGTATTTCCCATACTATTTACTTGCCCCCATCTATTTTCTATCTACTGTCTATGCTACTTATTTTCTGTACCTTCTGCCCCCTTCTCCTCCTCCCACTCCCCTGTTGCTAACCCTCCATGAGATCTTTATTTCTATGCTTCCATTCCTGATCTAGCTGTCCTCTTGGTTTGCTTTTGTTTTAGGTGTGGTTGTTAATAACTGTGAGTTTGCTGTCCTTTCACTGTTAATGTTTTTCTAACTTCTTTTTCTTAGATAAGTCCCTTTAACATTTCATATAATAAGGGCTTGGTGATGATGAACTCCTTGAATTTGATCTTATCTGAGAAGCACTTTATCTGTCCTTCCATTCTAAATGAAAGCTTTGCTGGATAGAGCAATCTTGGTTGTAGGTCTTTGGATTTCATGACTTGGAATACCTCTTTCCAGCCCCTTCTTGCCTGTAAGGTCTCTTTTGAGAAATCTACTGACAGTCTGATGGGAACTCCCTTGTAGGTGACTGTCCCCTTATCTCTTGCTGCTTCTAGGATTCAGTTTTGAGATTTCTTGAACTCTGTCCTTCAAATTCAAGTGCTTGTTCTCAACTTGGGTACAGCCTCTGCTGGCTTCCCAGGGTGTTAGAATGATCACAGGGAACACTGCCAGCTGAAATGGGTGAAGATTCCTCTGGGGGCCCTGAATCAGAGCAACTATAAACTTTCTGGGTCGTTTTCAATTGTCATGGACTGTGTAGTTTCCAAGTAGCCGCAACCTTGCTTCCACAGCCACACACAAGCATTCTCTTGCAGATTCTTTGGAGCAGTAGAGATTGGAGACACCTTCCGGTGCTAAATATGCCAGGCTCTCCCTGCAGACATCCAAGCCTATGCTTGTCACACATTCACCCATAGCTTTAAAAAATTACTCCACTTGTCCATGAAATCTACAACCTCAACAGTAAGTACCAGCCACTGGGGCCGTGGGAGTCGGTCCCAAAGATAAGCCCAGAACTTTCCAATAAGGCAGCCAGACTCTATGAGGATATCAGGAAATCAATAAATCAACCTGTGTCCCCTGTATGCCTAGGGCTTCCCCTTTCCCTTCTACAGCTGGCCTATATCCATGCCTTAATGGTAAAGTCCTAGATTAAAATCAATTCCCTTTCATTCATTAATGCACTTGTTCAGGAAATAATTTGCATATCTGGCACTATGCTCAAAACATAGTCCTCTCCCTGCACATGGCAATGTGAACCGTGTGTGTACAGCTGAGAGATGAAGGTGAAATGGACAGTCTGCAAGGAATGAGAGCACTGGCGAAGGAAGTAATGGATGCATTATCAGCAGAATGGTAGGTTTATTCATTATTAAAGCCGGTTTAAGTTCACAGCAAAAGTGAAGGAAAGTACTGATTTCCCCTATGCCTTCTGTCCCCACACATGCCTAGCCTCCCTATTACCTACAATCCACACCACACTGACACCTTTATCAGACTCTATTAACCTGCGCTGACACTTCATTAGTATCCGAAGTCATTAGGGTTCATTCCTGGTGTTGTACATTCTGGGGTTTGGACAATTGCATACGACATGTATCCATCATTATGGTATCATACAGGGTATTTCACTGCCCCCCAAATCCTTTGTGCTCTGCTGATTCACTCCTCCCTCCCCTCAACCTCTGGCAACCATGGACCTTTTTCACTGTCTCCATAGTTTTGCCTTTTCCAGAATGTCACGGAGTTGGAACCGTACAGTATGCAGCTTCCTCAAACTGGCTTCTTTCATTTAGTAATGTGAACTTAAGTTTCTCCCATCCCTTTTAATAGCTTGATAGCTGATTTCTTTTTAGCACTGAATAATATTCCATGTCTGGATATACCAGTTCATTTATCCATTCACTTATGGAAGGAGACCTTTGTTGCTTTCAACTCTGGGCAACTATGAATAAAGCTGCTAGAAACATCGCTGTGCAGGTTCTCGTGTGGACATAAGTTTTCAACTTTTGGTGTAGTAACCAGATGAATGATCGCTAGAGCCTAAGTAAGGTATGTTTAATTGTGTAAAAAATCACTGAAATGTCTTCCAAAGTGGCTGCACCATTGTGCATTCCCATCAGCAATGAAGGGAAGTTCCTGATGCTCCATATCCTCACCAGCTGAAAGCCAACGGTAAAAGGTGTTAAAAGAAAAATGAGATCTTACCTCCTGGGGAACAATTAATCCACCTGACAGCTGATTTCTCATCAGAAACTACACCAGCTTTCTATTGCTGTCACACAAATCAGCTTAATCAAATTCACTTTGAGGCTTAAAACAACACTCATGTATTATCTCACAGTTACGTGGTCCCGGAGTCTGGGTGGCAAGTGGCTCAGCTGGGCGCTCTCTTGCAGCCTCGTGAGGACAAAATATGGTGCTCGGCAAGGCTTTGCTTCCCTCCTGGAGGCTGTAGGGATGGATCTGCCTGTTCAAGCTCCATGTCGTTGTAGGACTAAGTTCATCCTTTTCATCTTAAAGCTGAATGAATAACGATAAATATTTTCTAACTGACTAGAAACTCACTACTATTTAAGTGCAAACTTAGAAGATTTGAAGATCATGCTGTATAATGTACAATGATCTAAAAGGTATGTATATATATATATCTATATATATATACACACACATATATATGATGAAATGCTATTTTTCAAATTTTTTGCTATCTTATAGATTCCTGTCTCTAAGTTTTTATAGTAACTATGGCTTTATTAATACATTACTGATGTTCATTTAGAGAATGCACGCCCCAATGCGAACATTGAACACAATATGAAGCTGTTCCACAGGCCTTCTGGCATTCCTCTGAAACATTGTATTTCCCTGCTTACGACCTGGGGTAAGAGACTGTGTGAAAAGACACAGCGCTCTCTCCACCCTCCACCCATGACGATAGGTCCCACGGACCGGCAGACCTAAAACTCTGAAATATGTGGCTTGCATCTCTAACCAGTTTTTTAAAAAATTCCAGTCAAATATTTACCCATTGTTTGCACTGTAGAAAGCTAATTAATGTACACATGTATATGAAAAATGGAAGTTGCTTTCAGCAAATTTCCTGATATTTCTTCCCAGGATTATGAGTAATCCTTGGGAACGGCAGGAAGGGGTGCAAGGTCCCCTTTTAGTGTGTGTGTCTGTGTGCGTGTGTGTGCACATGCTTGTGTATAGCTGCATACACACGCACATGCCCGAGGTAGGTCTTGAAGCCTCCTCTGCCTCTTGTACGACCTGGGCCAGATCCTGCCCATTCGAACCTCTGCTTTCCCTCCGTCCCCATGGCCCTGAGCCAAGCTGAGCCACCATTGCCCCTACGGGAATTACTAAGTAGTCCCCTGACCCCCATTTAACTATAACACGCCCTTGTTTTAAAAGCAAGTGAAAAAATATATCCACCCGGACCTACAACCCTTCCATGGACGCACAGTGCTCCTCTGAGTCAAGCCAAACTCCGCATGTTTTCCAAGACCTCTCAAAACGTGGCCTCTCAGCCGTGACCTTCCTAAACTCCCTTTCCCTCACCTGGCACCTGCTCCACCCTCCAACCCCATGACCTTTCTCCAGTTCCTCCCACGTCGTGTTCACCCTCTTGCGCCCAGTTTTCCCACAAGTTCCTTCTGCATCCGCGTCTCTGAAACGCTCTGACCTCGCTGTGAGCTCCGCCCCTGAGTCCCGGCCTGGCTCCTGGCCCTCGCTCCTCCACGGCCCCCTGCACCCGTGTCCTGACACTGAGCACTTGCTGCGCCGCTCCTCTCTGTTTGCTTCTTGTCATCCCATCGCCAGACTGGGAGGCAGCCCCAAGTGTCTGGTACGCAGTGGACACCTAAAAATATTTGTTGAATAAAATGAGAAAATAAAGGAATCCATCATTGTCTGGTGGCTTTGAGATAACATAATTTCTGTGAAATTATGTCTTTTATCATATTGGGAAACTTGCAATTCATCAGGAAAAATGCTATTTGTCAGACTAATGGATTTTTAATGCATTTGTCACCCTCAAGTGATGACTTTTTAAAATCTTTATTTCTCTTGTCAAAATCAAGAAGGAGGAACTATATTCTCACTCAAAGAATTTTATGCTGTTATTAGCTTAGTTAGTATGAATTTTATTTGCTTGCATGCTGTAAGATTATTGCATAACTGGAAGATGTGAAACAATGCAACTCAATAACTTAAGTTTTTTTAGGGTATACGTATTTTCACTAAATATACATGTATCCTTATTTCAAGAGCTAAC